CTGGGATAGACACGAGTGGCACGATATTCAGGAAGTCCATCCAGCTCCTTGGTTTCGCCGATGACATTGACATTATGGCACGGAACTTTGAGATGATGGCGGAAACGTACATCAGACTGAAGGCTGAAGCTAGACGGATTGGACTTGCCATCAACGCATCAAAGACAAAATATATGAAAGCAAGAGGTTCTAGGGAAGACAATGTTAGCCTCCCACCCCGAGTTCAGATTGACGGTGACGAAATCGAGGTGGTCGATGAGTTCGTGTATTTGGGCTCACTGGTGACCGCCGAAAATGATACCAGCAGAGAAATTCAAAGACGCATTATGGCAGGGAATCGTGCCTACTTTGGACTCCGGAGGACGCTCCGGTCGAATAAAATTCGCCGCCGCACGAAGTTGACTGTCTACAAGACGCTGATTAGACCGGTGGTCCTTTACGGCCACGAGACCTGGACTATGCTCGTGGAGGACCAACGCGCCCTTGGTGTTTTCGAACGGAAGGTGTTGCGTACCATCTACGGTGGAGTGCAGATGGATGACGGAACGTGGAGGAGGCGAATGAACCACGAATTGCACCAGCTGCTGGGAGAACCATGCATCGTCCACATTGCAAAAATTGGGCGACTACGGTGGGCTGGGCACGTCGTAAGAATGCCGCACGACGACCCAGTGAAAATGGTTCTAGAAAGCGACCCAACAGGAACAAGAAGAAGAGGCGCGCAGCGGGCAAGGTGGATCGACCAAGTAGAAGGTGACCTGCGGACCCTTCGCAGACTACGAGGCTGGCGAACTGTGGCCATGGATCGATTAGAGTGGAGACGACTTCTTCGGACAGCAGAGGACAACAAGGCCTTAGCCTGATTGGTAAGGTAAGGTAAGTAACTCTCCAGTCTGGACAGCGTTTAAGACCGTGATGTCGGATTTTCGAGTCGCTTGATTAACGAGAGCCGAATTAGTGGAGAGATACCTAGGGAGATACTGTACAAAGTTCACTAAGCTTCTACAAATTTCGATGAACTTCTACAGAATTCTTTGCACTTTTAGAAAGTTTCCTGAGCTTCTACGAAGTTGGTTTGCTGAAGAGCTTCGAACCTTCTTATCGCATATTAGCTTATTGCGTGCTCTCAACTAAGTGTTCTATAAATGCACTTCCACAGTTATTAATTGAGAGCTTTTGATGCCAATATCAATGTATGAATTTGTATATTGTGTGGCAAGCACAATGATACTCTATGCCCAGGGAAGTCGAGAAAATTTCCAACCCGATAGATTCCCTCGACCGTTTGGTAATACCGTGCCTTTACTGACTAGGCTATGAGGCCCTGAACTTATGAAGTTCCCCGAATATTACGACGTTCTCAAACGACAAATGATGTTCCCGTAACTTCCCTGAGCTTCTGTAAGGACTCATTTTTTACAAATCAAGAGCATTTTTTCATTATGTCGAAAGTAACATTCGCATTGATCCGAGAAAAATAAAGTTTTGACCGAAAAGTTATTCCTATTTCCAATTGAACACATATAATCTAATAGTGATAGCAATGTTTAACATATTAAGCAGGGTTTTTATTATACAAAACAGATCGCTGGCTTTCATGCTAAAAAATACTGGTTTTTGAGTTACGAGTTATTAAACGTCGTTTGGTGACCCCGAATGTTGCTTAAGTCAAAGTGTATTTACCAAAATATTCGGGAGAATTATCAATCACGTCTCCTTACATGCAGCCTATCCATCATTTTAGGACCAGCGACATCATCTTAGCAACAAACAGTTCGATTTATTCACTTTAATAATGAGAAAGCGAAACGACGAACGTACACTTTTCACGGATTTTTCTGCGCTGTTACTTAAGACAAACGGAATCTCCATAGAAATTGGGTGACTTAAGTAACATCGGTAAATATTTTGATCGAAAGGTGATTACGTCAAAAAGCAATTTGACTGGTCAATAAATTTAAAAATGGGATGTGATCCTATATTCGGATAGTATCGCAGGAGCATCGATTGACACTGATAGCTCGACTTTGTTTACCTTTGTTACTTTCGAGGTAATGAAAATTTGCTCTTGAAATCTAACCGCCCCCCTCTCCGTTCCTTTTTCGACAATTTTAAAATTAGCGTTGAAAATTCCGTCCATCTCAATGAAGATTTTATCCCTGCCATAACACGTTGGTTGGTTGGTACACCCCTAATATAATAAAATTCACTTTCCAAACTTTTGAAATTAATTCGGAGTAATGTTATCACCGACAAACCGACATGACACTTAATTCTGATCCAAACTGTCAAAACCATAGGATTTTTGATCTAGATAAAAATAATTTGTCCAGAATAGATTAGACACGAACCAATTCATAACTTTTGCATGCGGGTTCATGGCTTAACTAAATAATTCCCGCGAACACGGAGCCAGATGTCAGTAGTGTGCTTTGGTCAGAAATTTTATAGTTTTTGCTATGGTCATTCATGTCGGTTTGTCGGTGATGTTATGGCAATTTTCAATACCATTCACTTAAATGCCTCTAATGAAAATCAGGAAAATGCTGTGATTTTATTATTTCCTGGGAACGTTAGGAATTTGAATAATTCTCCAGGAAAAAAATTCAAAATTTTTCAAATTTTACATACTATTGATCATTTCGTTCGTTTTGTTTGGCAGTTAAGGGATGTGCACGATATTTTTACCATGAAATTTTCTCCATAGGAATTTGACAGGAGGGGTTTGCTTACCAAAATAAATGTAACCAAACCAAATTCTTAGCGAGAAAAAGTGAGGTTATTATATCGTGCACTTTTCCATACCGACGTGCTTCATTGATTGCAGTCGCAGAACCTAGCGAAAATTGATAGCTGAGCGTGCCATGTCCAATGGATCATATCATTCGAGCAGTTTAAAATGACGTTTCCTACCACTCGAACTTTAACGTGGAACAATATTTTGATATTTTTTCTTCTGCAACCTCGAGAAAATAGGGCCTTTTTTGTAATATGCTTGAAAAATCTTGAATTTACTGTTTCATTTCCGTAAAATGGCTGGAAGAAGGTCGTCTCAAAATTGCTCGACAATATGATTAATTCCGAGCGCAGAAGTGTGTATGATTCATTTTGCATGCTGATTCCTTCGATTTGAATCAGGTGAACGGTCGCTTGGTAGAACAAATCAATCATTCGTTAGCCGATCACTATTTTAAGCACATTCGCATGTTCAAAATATATACACGGCCAACTTCAATTACTCAGCGACTGAATTCAATTGACTCAGAGCATTTTCTTTCTATACGAAATTTACTCATATTTTGAAAGAAAAAATTGCTTTAAGATGTTTTTAATTTATTTTCGAAGTGTCAAATTTAAGTGAAAATTCACCAAATCAGTACCAACATTTAAAAGCCGTCAATTTGTCGCAACTAATAGCTCAAACCTCCAAAATAACAATGCTAGCTGATAGAGAAAACATTCCTCTACCTGTTGGTGTCATTATTTTTCATGAGCGAGCTTTTATTCGCGAGAAATCAACGGCTAAAGCCATTGTTTTCAATTGCAATTACGCCCCTTTGAAATGTTGGCACTGAAATGGAACACAGCCTCAGCACGAGTGTTAAAATGCGTGGGTATTTTTTTCAATTAACTTCTGCTAATGGTGGTAAGCTCCAACCGGTATTATCCTGGGATTAAATCCCGATCAAGAATGTCCGGCTGCTTTTATGTCGACATCAGGATTAATCAACGCGATTTTAAGCAAATATGTTGCAGATCATCCAAACAGAGACGGTATCAAAAGTTTATCCGAGTTGGAGCTTACCGCCATAAATGAAAAATTTTACCGCAGAATTTGAATGAAAATTAAAATGGAAGACGCTAAGTATGGTAATAATTGTCATGTAACTTTCACAATATTCTAAAATTTTATTAATTTTATATGATAAAATGTGCAAAATATAGCCAGGTGGACCAAAATCTCGATGAACATTTCAAATGGTCCTATCTGCTTTGATCGATTCTCTTCATCGACTTTCTCTTTTCATAACCACTGCTATGCAAACAGATTTCGCGCTAATTCTACCACATAGTTTGATAAAGGAGGTTCTTATCTAGCGTCCAAAACGTCAAATACTATAGGGAAAGGTTTTGCAGCTGGGATATTAACGAAAGAGAAAATCGATGAAGAGAATCGATAAATGCAGATAGGACCTTTTGAAATGTTTATCTATATCCATTACCCTATAATAGGTAACACATCGAATTATGAAACATGAGGTTTTGTTTTATCAACTATCTGGTTCTTTTATCCTTAAAATAAAGGAGAAAGCTTTTGAAGTTTTAACGTTTGGTCAGTATTTTTTAATTCCTACTCAAGTTTACGAAGCCAACTCGCTTCCCAAAGCTTGGACCAATGTTAGAAGATAAGCAATATAATAGTATACTGTGAGTATTATATTTAATCTGTATGTTATTAAAACAAAAAGTAATGCCGCGGACACACTTGGATGACAAACCATGAGCATCAGCATTATTTATATAATAAATTATAAGCACATCCATGGTCACCCTTGTATAGTTTGTGCACAGACAAACATACATAACTCATTGAATATTTCTCACTGCAAAACATCGTTGCTAAAACATTACCGCCATCTGTTAAGCTCTGTTAAGTACACTGTGGTGGGTAGTACGCTGAACAGATGGCGGTAGTGCGTAAACGTCAAACGCAAGGGAATTGACTATGCGCGCCACCGGTGGCGGTACTACCAACTACGATACTTTTAAATCGACCATTTAAAATTTAATGCTTGTTCGATGAACAACTTGCGAGTGTTATGTCTGTTTGTCTGTGGTTTGTGTATTATAGTTGTTGTATAGTGCTCATAATTATTATACAAATAATGCTCATGCTCATAGTAGGTCATGCAAGTGTATCCGTGGCATAACCATAGCATAACCATAATTGAATGTTAGTACAATAATCCCTCACCTACAACCCATTATCACTCTTTCAGGTAATCGACGAGGCAAGATCCAAGTACCCGCACTACGAAGTGATCGGTGATCCGGACGTGGCCAAGGTGGCTGCCGTGTCCACCCGCTACACCGATTCATCGCTCAACGGCATCATACTGGACATCCATCTGCTCTCGCTGAGTGACTACCTCGTGTGTACGTTCAGCTCGCAGGTGTGCCGAGTGGCATACGAAATCATGCAAACCCTGTACCCGGACGCGTCCAACCGATTCAAGTCGTTGGACGACATCTACTACTATGGCGGCCAAAATGCTCACAATCGAGAGGTGATCCTGCCTCACAATCCGAAAAATCACGACGAAATCCACATGCGCAAAGGTGACCTCATCGGTGTGGCCGGAAACCACTGGAACGGTTTTTCCAAGGGCAAGAACGTCCGCATCAATCAGGTGGGACTTTTCCCATCATTCAAAGTTAACGATAAAATCGAAGTGGTGGACCTACCGACGTATCCCAACGTGAAGTAAGTCCTTGTGCCGGAAGAACAAAACGGAAGCGAGAATTGATTTTTTCTATGTGATAGATGGTGTAAAATAATGAATAATTTAAATGTGACATGCGTCAAACAAAAATAATAAAAAAAATTAGACAAAATCTACCGAACAAAATCAGCAGAAAACCCAGAACAAACGTTTAAATTTATTAATTTATAAGAAAAATGATAGGGAAGTAACGATGTCAAATGATGTGCAAAGCAAGAACCCGAAACTGAAAACAACCTACCAACCATGTAAGAAGCATTAATTTATACAAAGTTACAAAGAAAGAACGAGCAGTAAAAGCAATTATGTAACAGATGTTTTATTAAAGTTTATTAAAACAAATGCATATCACTTCACTTTGGAATGGGAGCACCCCTCGGTTGCATCGTCCGGTGATCTCGCGTCTCACCAGTTCGTCTCGCTCAAACCGCTCAGTCTCACGAATTTTATTCTCTCTCACGGAGCTCATTGATTGAGAGCGATGATGATGATGATGCAGGTAGCTCACAATCTGTCCAACCAACCATCATTAACATTTTGTTGTTTACGTTCGCTTCGTATTTTCTGATCGATTTTTTTGCAATTGAAAAACGGGTGTTTTCCGTAAATTCTCGTCGATATGTTATCTGCAATGATAAAGGACCACCAGTCCAGACAAGCGGCCAGGAAGGAAGAGCAAGGCAATGCGCCGGATGGATTGATTAGACACAAATTTCGAAAATAATTGAAATTACATTTTGCAGATCGGAGAAGAAAAGAAGCGATACTGTCTGCGAACGAGCTAACGCAGAACTTGGTGGATCATTTAAATGTTGGGTAAGTTGAAACCTTATTTGTTTAGTGCCTAACAATCGAAATTGGGAACCAGGTACGTATTAAATTGTATTAATTAAAACTGGCTCGTTTTGGGAAATTGTGTTATTTTTTTTTCTCATGTTCAGCAACTGTTACACTGATCAAGGTTGTCAAAATCACCGTACTCTTACCAAATATTGCCTACCGAACATTTTTGAAGGAGTTGATAATTTATGGTGTTTGGATTTTGTGTTGTGATCCAGAGTATTGCGAATCACAAGTTTTTTTTTTATTAATAAGTTGCGCGCCAAACTTGTGGTGTTTTAGAGGCACTTGTTTCTTATGAACTAAGGAGGGCACGAGTTCAAATCTCATCCCCGACAAGTCAAGAATGACCCAAGAGTATTAAACTGATTCTAATATATAAAAAATGGACTCAAAACTCGTTATTTTTTTTCGCTATTTGCTTTTCCCTCGATCTATCAACACACCAGCTATGTTGAATAAAAATAAAACAGATGCAAGTCAGTGATGTCGGTTTGTTTAGTGTGATTCTTCTTTTGGTGAAAAACAAGTTTTTAAACGTGGTAATGCATCCCTAATGAAAGCCATTTCTACCACCGATCATCACTTTAATGTGTACACAGTGATGTATTGAACATCAATAACTGGTATAGCATTACAGTGATCAAAACGATGGGCCTCTGTTTCGTGAGCGGTCAGAACACCGCTTCATTCATCTCCACGGCACCACTAGTAAAGCAAGTACATCATCACCACTGGTTGCCACTGTTGGGATGTCATGACGACATTTCCACGACCGTGGCATACAATTTCCGGAAAGCCTATCTAGTATAGATTGTGAGAGCATCCTAGATCCTGATAACGTTGAAACCGCTGCGCAAACATTTTCACATGTTTTGGCTTATGCCATTGACAGACACGTTCCGAAAAGAGTTCACCGTAAATTTTCTCATCCTTCCTGGCAGACGAGTGAACTGCGTAGGTTGAAGTCAACCAAGAGAGCCGTATTAAGTAAATTCACTAAGCATCGTACGCTTTCGCTGAAACGTCACTACCTTAGGCTCAATTATGAGTTCAAGCGAGTTAACCGTCGATGCTATCCGCGATATCAACGAGAGATTCAGAGGAAACTCAAGTCGCACCTGAAGTCATTCTGGAACTACGTAAATGAGCAGCGCAAGGAATCTGGCCAACCTTCTTCAATTGTCTTGAAAGGATCAGTTGCTTCCACTCCTCAGTAGATCTATTGCTTGTTTGCTGAGAAGTTCGCCAGTGTTTTCTCGAATGAAAGATTAACCGACGATTACCCTAGCAGCTACTAATGTTCCACTCTACGATCAAACAAACACTGGGTGCAATGGATGTCAACGTCGAGATGATTTCCACTGCCGCATCACAACTCAAGTCGTCCTTCGATCCAGGACCCGATGGCGTTCCGTCCGTATTCCTGAAAAAGTATATCACCAGCTTGCTGATGTCGTTGCATCAACTATTCCAATTGTCCAGCACGAGTGGTTCATTTGCATCTTGTTTGAAATTCGCACATATGTTTCCTGTCCACGAAAGGGCAGCAAACAGGATGTGGACAATCATCGTGAAATTACGTCCGTTCAGTGCAGTTTCGAAGTTATTCAAGTTAGTCATCATGGAGCCTCTGCACTCTTATTGTAAGCAGTATCATGGAGATGATCAACACGGCTTCACTTCCGGTCGTTCTACTTTCACAAATCTGCTGTGTTTGAAATCGTATCTTACGGAAAGGATGGCAGAGAGAAATCAAACAGACGTCATATATACCGACTTGTCAGCTGCCTTCGATAAGCTAAACCAAGCCATACCGATTGCCAAGCTGCATAGACTTGGGGTCAGTGGCACCCATTGCGATTGTTTCGTTCATATCTCACTGATCTACAACTGATGGTGTGACAACCGGTTCGAAACGTTAGGAATACCGCAAAGAAGTCCCCTGGGACCTTTGATTTTCTTACTCTACTTCAGTGACGTGAACTGTGTCATCGAAGGCACACGTCTATTGTATGCAGATGATCTTAAAGCATGTACGAATCCGCTCGATTGATGACTGCCACTTCCTTCAACGTCAGTTCGAAGCCCTTGCCAGCTGGTGTAATTTGATCAGAATGATGGTTAACCCCACTAAGTGTTCAGTGATCACTTTTACTCGGAAGAAAGAACCAATCACATTTGACTACGAACTTAAGGGCACTGCATTCAAACGTGTGATCCATGGGAAGGATCTGAGTGTTATTCTGGATTCTCAACTTACGTACAAGCAGCACATCTCGTACGTTGTCGACAAGGCGTCTAGGACATTGGGCTTTATCTTCAGGATAGCAAAGAATTTCTCCGACATATTCTGTTCTGTGGTCTGGAGTTCAAACTACAACAATGGTGCTGAGAGAGTTGAGTCCGTTCAACGCCATTTTCTTCGGTTCGCTCTGCGGAAGCTGTCTTGGAGGGACTAGGGACTAGTCAACATTAACGTCCAACCCCGTGCGCTACGTAACAACGTGATGCTGAGATTGCTACATCAACGCACAAACTATAGCATGAACGGTGCAATAGGTGGGCTGCAACGAGTGTGGAAACTATCGATTTTAAATTGGCACACTACTTGACCAGCCTATTGGTCCCAAGCAAATCGATTAACGTACCCCATTCTAGTTGAAATTCTAGTACTAAACTATGTTTGTTTTGATTCTCTATGAAAGTTTGACAGATAAAATGAGGGGTTCGTGGATTTTCCTATGTTTTGAGGGGTGCATAGATTTGCATGGGACCGAAGATATTACCTGAGATATTAGCTGAGCCAAAAAGTTGAGCACGTTTCTTCGGGACTTACTAGTCTTAGAGTTACCTCTATGGTTCAATCGAGTCTCGAGCATCTTCGAATTCCATCTGCCTCATAGAAGATACTTCTCATCGTTATTTTCTGGCACAGTTAACCGTGAATGATCGTGTGTTTTGTTTATGTATTTTATTCTTAATTTTTATTCTTTGACCTACCTATATCGGTTACTTTAATCATCATTGGGGCTATACTCTGCCTGTTTATGCAGACAAATAAATAAATATTAATTTGATGATTTTGAAATTTGGCTAATAACTATCGGTTTATGAATGACAGGCTCACCAGTACGTATATCAGCACAAGTGTAAACATTCCATTAGACAGCAAAGAGTGGCTTAGCCCTACCCCACTCTACCAGTTTAACATGTCTCAAAACGTAAACAAATAAAAACATATTGAATAGTATGTGTGGTTACACCTCGACTAAGGGTGTATATTTTCATACGATAGTGACTTTTGCATTTTACAAAGATTTTATATTCTATCTTCAGCGTTGCCCAGGCCTATTTGAACCAAAAACGACTGGATGCGGAAGCCAAACAGTTGCATGTAGGTGCGACGAACTTTGCCAAACAGACACAGCAGTGGCTGACGCTGATCGAGAATTTCAACGGTTCACTGAAGGTATTTAGGAACATAGTATTTAATGCGGACATACAATTGAACGAGTACCGATGTTATCAATTTCAGGAAATCGGAGATGTGGAAAACTGGGCTAAAACGATCGAAAACGATATGAACGTCATAACGACGGCACTGGAGATTGCCTACAAAACGAGTCAAGAAAAGTGATTTTTTGTTGTTGTTGCGTTGTATGTGTTCAATATTTATTTTTAATACTTAATTCTCTATATTTATTAGAAAAGAATATGTAATAAATAAAATAAAATGTGAAAAAGTTTTTTTTTCCGAAAAATCCATCCATGAGGCTACCGTGTATTAAATTTCATTGCAGCTATGAATACACCCCTGAACGGGGAACGACAAGCACGCGAAACATCGCACCAGCTATCAAATCGAACGGTGCTCTCGGTGAGTGAAGACGTCAAAAAATATTCGTCGACTCGACGACACGAATCGGCCAGCAGCGAACAGAGAAGTGGAACTTCTTGAACCCCGTTTTTTCACTTCTCCGTGCAAAGTGTACCGTGTTTTTCGGTGAAATCGGACAGACGGAAATCGTCGGGTGTGTGTTTTTCACGGTGTTCCGATCGGAATCGGTCGCGGAGAGTTGCTTCCAGCCGCAGAACATGTCGCTGGAAGTGTGCTAGAAAGCGCAGTAGGGCCTTAACATCATTTTTTTTGTGTGTGCTGGCTGCCAGAGGAGGAAGAAAAATACACCGCGAGTGTGTGGAAGAAAGGAAGGAAGCGAAAAATAGGAGGAAAAAAGAGTTTCTTTGGGGCTGCTGATTTGTGTTGTATATTTGTAATTGTGTGTGTGTGTGTGGTGTGTGCACATACGTTTTTGATTAATCAAAACCAATAATATTTGTGAAATTCCTGGTCGGAAACGGAGAGGCATAAAAAGTGACCATTTCCAGTGCTTCGTGTGTTCCGAGTGCGTGCTGACAGGGCTAGAGATTAGATAAGAGAGCAGATTGGGGTGGCCTGAGTCACCCAGTTTTCCGATTGAGGTGGGATCGCAAAAATCCCCCCCTACAGGAAGGTCACAATTTCGGGCCCGGAGCTGGAGTTGAACGAAGATAAAATTTTGCATCATCATCAGCAGCAACAACAGGAGCTCCAGCAGCCAACAGTGGAGAACTGTGGAGTTATCGGAGGGGCAGCAGCGGGTGGAGGTGGAAGTGCCAGTAGTGGCAATAGGAGGGAAGGCCGCAAGACGAAACCAGGTGGTGAGTAATCGTCTATCTATACGTACGAAGTCGCATTACGGAATCTTAGTCTACTGAACTGACTCGTCGCTGGGTGCAGTGAGAACTCTGCTGGCTGGTAAGCTGAAAGCTTACGGGATTGTTCGTTCTTGTGGTGTGTGGTGGGAAATAAAATTTTCGGGACTATCACATATGCATATTTTTATTGGCCAGTTGTGTTTGCACGCAGCACCGCGCACCTAGAAAAGATAAACAAACTTTTAGCACATCATGAAATTTTTAACTTTTCGCACGTCTCAGAGTCGCGTAGTATCTAGAGATTGAGCCTGGAGGATCTAAATTTGGCCTATGAAGTTTCATGCATATTTTTTTCTCTAGAATGATTATTGTTTTGGAGTTTGATGTGAATTCGTCTAGCGTCTTCGAGGATTCTGGATTTACTGGTGAAGGAAATTCTCAATTTGCTCTAGTTTTTAAGGTTCGCTGGATGTGTCCATGACTCCCAACTTGTTTTTAACATCTGCCCTCTAACAAATCAATTTCCTTCATAATTCTGAGATAAATCAAATTTCAGCAATGTATTAACTCTTTATCCTTCTCACTTCGCGATTTATATTGTTGGTATAATTTGTTTATTCTTGCAATGGTTAATTATATCTATTCAAAAGATTAACACCTAAGTAAGATGACTTCTGTTTGTTGATCATTTTCATTGCCGAATTGAATTTAATCATTTTCATTTGACACGGAAGGCTTCAGTTAATCGTCATTTAGACACAATTGGTTTGTATGTACTTCTGGTTATTTCGATCACTGAAGAATCAAAGTACAAAACTCGACAAAAAATGACCACTGTTTAAATATCCCAGAGCTTCTACGGTCCATTCACATTTCTAAAATGGGGAGGGGATCTAAGACCTCTCAAAAACTGTTTACGTAGCTTATGAACAGCTTTTTAGAGAGTTGGGTAAATCGTAAAAAGATAATAAAATTTAAAAAAATGCGGTTTACTCACTGGAAGTTTAGGCTGATTTGATCACGTTTATCAAGTTTCCCCTTACAAATTTCATAAATTGTTAATAGTCATTTCATTTGAAAGGCTTTACCTATGCCGATGTTGAACGAACGTCGATCACAGTGGTTTGTTGTGGCAGTGGCCTAGTGGCAACAGTTTTGGCTTACTAGGCAGATGATCGAGGGCTCTATCCCAGGTCTGTTTACATTTCTATGTTTTTTCTAAACACCAAACACCATCTATTGTGAATCCTGTTGAATTAGAGGGCGTCTTAGTGGAATACCTGTGTAAAGAAAGAGAGAAGGATTAGTAATTTCCATTTAATTTCAATACCTTATTTGCTTATCCTTGACAGATACGCGTATTTCGTCTATAATATGAAGACTTCTTCAGAGTCTTGTACCAAGGAAACTGTAATCTGTCAAGAATAAGCAAATAAGGTAGTGGAAATAAATTACTAATCCTTCGCTCTTTCTTGCTTTATACCATCTATTGGTTCATTGTGCAATTATAGCTAATCTTTGCAAGAACGAAACAACAACCACGGGCGGTTAATCATGAGCATGCTCAAATATATTTAATTATATCAGTTTTAGCCTGATTGTATAACTATTAACGGTGGTTGACTCAGTGAGAACCCACTAGATTAATTCTACTTCCGAGTCCGGTCATAATCTTTAGTATTACGGCTCACCAACTCTCGTAATACAAAGTGAAAATTTGAATTAGAACTAGCGCAGGACTCAAATATCCGGCGGATGATGCCAACCAAGCGTGATGTGGATAGTCCGAAGAAGTCGTCTCCACTCTACTGGATCCATGGCCAAACTTCGTCAGCCTCGTAGTCTGCGAAGGGTCCGCAGGTCGCCTTCTACTTAGTCGATCCACCTTGCGCGTTGCGCGGATCTTCTTCTTGTTGCTGTTGGGTCGCTTTTGAGAACCATTTTCACTTGGTCGTCATCCAGCATTCTTATGACGTGCCCAACCCACCGTAGTCACCCAATTTTTGCAATGTGGACGATGGATGGTTCTCACAGCAGCTGGTGCAAATCGTGGTTCATTCGCCTCCTACACGTTCTGTCATCCATCTGCACTCCACCGTAGATGGTACGCAACACCTGAGCATAGTCCAGGTCTCGTGGTCGTAGTGGACCACCGGTCCAAAAAGCGTCTTGTAGATAGTCAACATCGTTCGGCGGCCAATTATATTCGACCAGAGCGTCCTCCGGAGTCTAAAGAAGGCAGGATTCCCTGCCATAATGCGGCTTTGAATTTCTCTGCTGGTATCATTTTCGGTGGTCACCAGCCCAACTACACGAACTCGTCGACCACCTCGATATCAATATCAATATCAATATCAATCTGAACTCGGGGTGGGAGGCTAACATTGTCTTCCCTAGACCCTCTTCCTCTCATGTAGTTCGTCTTCGATGCGTTGATGGCAAGTCCAATCCGCGTAGCTTCAGCCTTCAGTCTGATGTACATTTCCGCCATCATCTCAAAATTCCGTGCCATGATGTCGATGTCATCAGCGAAACCAAAAAGCTGGATGGACTTCCTGAAAATCGTGACACTCGTGTCTATCCCAGCTCTTCTGATCACACGCGGTGTTAAATAGCAGGCACGAAAGTCCATCACCTTACCTTCGAGATTCAAAGGGACTCGAGAGTGTCCCCTTATACTCGTACAACGCACATCACTCGATCCAGCGTCGCCTTGACCAATCGCGTCAGTTTATCCGGAAATCCGTCGCCGTGCATAATCTGCCATAGCTGATCTCGATCGATTGTGTCGTATGCGGATTTGAAATCGATGAAAAAATGATGTGTGGGCACGTTGTATTCGCGGCATTTCTGCAGAACCTGCCGAATCGCACATCATAGATAACGGTCATATTGAGTATCCAGATGCAATCGGCCACATCCGATCATGTTCCTGGTGTCCTCGGGAAAATGCTACGCACCTGTAAATCACATCCAAATCTATCATGAGACAAATCAACCCAGTTTTATAGAGTGCTCAGGGTGATTGTGACACATCCAGAAAGGCTCCGGATGTCCCCAGAGAAGTGATCAAAACCGTACTAGAGGCGTGTCTGTTTCTGCGTCCTTGAGGCAAATAGCCAAATTCAATCATTAGCCAGAACCTTTCACGCGGCATATCAAATTGCAAGAAATGACAGTCCTGAATTGACTGTAATTTGAGCTTAACAAATTTCCACACTGACAAAAGTTTCCACATAGTTTCTATGAGGAACGCACATAATATTTTTCCAATAACAAAATTAATGATTAACATGAATTCTATGTGCTAAATCACATAAATTTCATTGGACACATAAGGTTCGCGTAATGTTGTGGTGCGATTTCCAATTATGAGAACTCATGAAAGCCATGCGAAATTCGAATGGATTTATTTCATGAGTGCACTTCCATTCCACTTGGCATGAGATCGATTCACGGCATGTTACAGTCATTTGTAACAATGTTCAATACCTAAAGGCAAAGCGAAAATTCATATCGCGCTTCATTCGTCACCATCACCATAATTTCCCGATCTCTGCGAACTGGTGTCGGCAGACTCCAGCAGCGAAAATCTCTAATTTTAAACCCAAAGTAGGAAATAAATCAAACACAAAGCAGCCAGCGCGCTGCTCTCAGCAGCGATCGGGGAGAGTGGGAAGCAACCAGCAGCCAGCGGTAACATTGAACGGAGTGGAGCCAACCAAGCCAAGTTCCAAATTTGGAGGAATTCCACAAACGGCCTACGCGGTGTGTGCTCTGGAAAAGTAGAAAAAAAAAAAAACATTGCATTGCAGCTCCTCTACTCGCTCTTTGTTGCAACAGATCGGATGCACGGTTTCGCACAGTGGTTTCATCTGGAACAAAATTCTGTCACAATCTGTCGGTCGGTATTGCTTTGTCAGAACAGCAATGTATATTAAGTTCCGTATCAGGTTAATTTCTGAATTTTTGATCGTAACGATTTCAAAATAGTTATTGAGGTCTAGGAGGTTATACAAAACATTAACTATTTTAAATGTGATATAAAAGTTGACATGCTTCTCAGAATTTAACAACCAAATTTAAATTTCTGAAGATTTCAATATAACGCGAGGCGTTAAGCTCAATTTGTCCTCCTGAACTAGTTTGCTGAAAACGGCAAGAATCTATTCAGGGCTGGTAGCAAGTCACTAGGTCACTATTTTGAAGTCAGTCACTTTTTACATAAAAAAGTCACTATTCTCCTAAAAATAGTCACTAAAGTCACTATTTTCCATGTGAAAAATATCATCAAATTAAATTGAGTACTTGTCACTAAGGAGGTCTACAGTAGAATATACATATCTATCTAAAAATAAACAATTATAGCAAGGGTGACCGAAAAATTCAAGGAATTTTAAATTCCGTGAAAAAAACTGCGAAAACCCTTGAATTTTGAGAACAAATCGGGGAAAATAAACTTCCTTTTTCCTAAAATAAATTCTGAACCTTGGAAACTTTTCAAGGATACTGATTTTCAGAAGGCTTTTTATAGAATTATCTAGAAATTTTAATGAAAATTCCAAAGGAAATTTGAAGAAAAATTCAAAGGAATTCCAGGGACACCAAAATTTATTGAAGAAGAATACCAAATTACACACTACGAAAGTCTCATGTAAATTTAGGTGTTCTGAGGGCCGATTTGTTCACCTCCGCTCAAATATTAAACCATGTTTAACCATATAGTTAAAACCAATTTTTGGATTAATTCCAAGATAATTGAAAGACGAGCTCCAGGTGCATTTTAAAGAGAGTTCTGAGAAGAATTCTATGACGATTGGATGAGGATTCTTGGTCCAAATTCTAATAAGTATTTAAAATAAGTTTTGATAAGTTTTTAAGAGAGCTCTGATGAGAATTCCAAGGAAATTCCGTGAACTCTAAAGGTCTCCAAACTCAGCGGATAGTTGGAAAGGAATTTTGAGGCGATTTCTGAGATGGATTTTTGTTTTGAGAATTCTGAG